AAGAAGCAATCTTCAATAATGTATTTACAAAATTTTGTACAAATACTTTAATTTTGTACCTAATCAAGACTAAAGGGTCACTTTCAGTGTGCCTAAAAATTTCCTTCTTTTCTCTACACTGTTATCACTACTACCATCGTATTAATTTCCCAGTATCTATTCTTTTATGGAATAAGGGTAAAATGCAATAAAATAGTCAAATAATTGCACAAATGTACACTGCTGTGAAGATAAAGACGTTGACATCACTGAAACTGAGCTAACTGTTGGCTGGCTTGCAGTGCCACTATTTTAATATTAATAGCTTGAAATGTGCATTTGTTCATCAACAAGAGTCCAAATTCAGCATATAAAATCCAACTCTCAGGGGATCATCATGGTGAGTTGCATATAAGCCAAACATATAAAATTTGAAGACTGTTAGTAAAATCAGACTCAGCATGTTTTCCTTTTTTCCATGTAAATGTGTGGATTTTTGAATAATTGTTTAAGTATGACTTTTTCTGAATACAGAACATTTTTGTGTATGTATATGCAGGTGCCACCAACAATCAAATGTTTTCTCTCCTCCCACCCCATATATGTTAACTGATGATTTACTTCAAATTATCTAAGTCCATTAATTCATTTTCTCAGCAAGAATTCATAAAGCACATACTCTGTATCAAGCAATGTACCTGACAATGGAAATATAAAGTGACCGAAATATAATCCTACTCTCAAGGGACTCACAGTCTGGGGAATGATTAGAATAGCTATCAGAGCTATTACAAAGGTACCCATTACATGTCCTGAGTACAGATTCTCTGACTAGGTTAAGAAGGAAAGGGAAAAGATTAGCGAGGGCTTTTATTCTCCAGGTAAAACAATTTGAGCTGAATCATGGAGATAATAAGAATTAGCCAAGTAGATAAAGTTGGGAGGCAAGATGTGGGGGAGGATAGGTATTTTTATTGGGTTCTCCAACTAGGGAGAACAGGATATGCAAAGATATAAGAGAGAACACAACATCTTAGGAGAACTGTACATTTGAAATGGCTAAGAATTACATTGGAGGGGAATGGTAGTAAACCACTCAATTACATGAGTGGTAAACCAAGTTTAAACTTTATTCAAATTACAAACGTATGAGCAACTAGCCATGAGATAAAAGAGTGACCAAATCAATGTAACCACCAATAAGTGAATTTGGACAAGAATATGGTAGTTCTCCCTTATTCAAGAAGAATATATTCCAAGACCCAAGTGGATGTCTGAAATTGCAGTTGGTGCTGATCCTATATATACTATGTTTTTCCTATACATATATAACTGAGATAAAGTTTAATTTATGTTAAGCTCAGAAAGAGATTAACAATGACTAATAATAAAATTGAAAAATTATAGCCAAAACCGGTTTGGCTCAGTGGATAGAGTGTCGGCCTGCGGACTGAAAGGTCCCAGGTTCCATTCTGGTCAAGGGCATGTACCTTGGTTATGGGCACATCCCCAGTAGGGGGTGTGCAAGAGGCAGCTGATTAATGATTCTCTCTCATCGATGTTTCTCTCTAGCCTTCTCTCTTTGTCTCTGTAAAAAAAAAAAAATCAATTAAAAAATATTTTTTTAAAGAGAGAAATTAACTTTAAAAAAATTATAATAATACTAGAGGCCCAGTGTAAGAATTCGTGCAAGGTGGGGTCCCTCTGGGTGGCCTGCAGGGATCGGGCTGAAATCCACAGTCCAGTCCAATGCCGCCTGCAGCTCTTACCTGCTGTTCCTGCTCATCCCAGCCCCACTGTGCCTACGCTGGGCTAGTGCCCAATCAGTCCCAACCGGGAAAAGCTCACACTGCCAGAGCAGTGCTCACCAGCCATTAGCCCTGCGTCTGGCGCCCTCCTAAGGGGAGTGGCTGTCTGACATCCCCTGAAGGGTCCCGGATTGCAAGAGGGCACAGGTCAGTGCATCATCAGGCTGGGGAAGGACCACGGAAGGGCTCCAGGGAGTGTCTGGCCCATCTCGCTCAGTCCAGGCATTATTCTAAAAACTTACTATAAATCAACTAATTTCATTCTAACAACAATTATATAAGAGATCCTATTATCATCTCCAATGTAATTAAAAGGAAACTGATGTATACAGAGTTCAAGTACTTGCCTAGAGTCATACCTAGATAGAGACAGGCTCAAACCTCAAGCAGTCTGGTACCAGGGCCCATGCTCTTAACCACTGTGCCATACCCTGGCCTCTGGGCTTCTTTTCTAAGATATTTCTTAGTATCTTTTTCTGTCTGTACCACACAATTTCACTCTTGCACTATAATTCAAGGACCATATACTCAAATATATTCCTTAATTTTCCAGTAAAATCTCTAAATCAATCTTTCTTCAAATATATTCTAGAAGTAGCAACTTATAAGAGGATTCAACAAATTTTTAAAAATATACATTTGTTGACTTTTGACTAAAACCAAACAGAGACAAACCTGACAGTGACTGAATTTGTTCAGAATTCTTAGATTCAAGATTGCTTTAGACCAAATAAACTTTTGGATTTTTCTTGATATCTTGGTTTCAAGACAGATGATGTTAATTTGTATAATTTTTAATTGCATACATTATCTTTACCACTTACCTAATATAGTTATAACCATCAGCATTTATTGAGTCCAAACTACTAAAAAGCACTCTGCAGAGTATGGTGGAGGTCAATGGATAAGTGTAAGAATTCTGCTTTCAAGGCATTTTCTAGCACAACATTTCTCATTATTACACTAGGAATGTATTAACTATCTAGGGTCTACTAAATTCCCATCACATATCCCAGGGTGGGAAGAGGTATCGGGTGGCAACATAGTAGAGTCTCCCTGTGGTTTTAATTTGCATTTCCTTGATGACTAAAAATATTGAGCATCTTTTCATATGCTTATTTGCCATTTGTATATCTTTTTGGTAATGTGTCCAAATTTTCTGGCGATTAATTGCCCATTATTTTATTGGGTAGTTTATCTTACTACTGTATTGTAAGAGTTCTTTATATACATATTCTGAATACAGGTCTTTTATCAGAAATGTGTTTTACAAATGTTTTTTCCCAGTCAGTGCCTTACCTGTTTGTCTTCTAAACAGTGTCTTTTGAAAAGTGGAATTTTAGACTGTGTTAAGTCCAATTTACCATTGATTTCTTTAAGGCTTATGTTTTTTGTGTTTTATTGGGGGGGGAAATTTTTCCGAAAAATTCTTTTGCCTAATCCAAAGCCACAATGATTTTTTCCCCTCCCTCATTTTCTTCTGTTAGTTTTATAATCTTAGCTCATATTTAGGTCTATAATCCTGTTAGAGTTAATTCTTGTATATGGTATTGTATAACAGTTGAGGGTCATTATTTTGCACTTAGGTGACCAATTGTTCCAGCATGATTTGTTGAGAAGACTGAAAACAATTTCTTTTAATATAACAGAATATAAGTTCAGCCAGACAATTTCAGATTTTATATCGCAACTAATCATTTAGCAATTACAATTATCTGAAAAGGTATTAAAATACCTCTCCCTTTTGTGTGAGGCTAGATTTTCTTCATATATTTCAACCAAGACACATCACAACCGACTGAATGCAGAAGCAGAAATGAGAATCCAGCTATCTTTTATTAACCTAGACATTAAAGAGATTTATAAATAGCATAGTAATACAACGTGTCTTAATTAATGTTTTAAAAAGTTATTTTTATAAAAATATTTTATTTGCATGGGTTTATTATAGCTATTTTTAATAAATTAATATTTAATTTTTCCCCTCAGTTGTAATTTTGAACATAGTAAATATCGATAGATACAAGCAACAAAAACAAAAGCACTTGGGGCCCTCAATAATTTTAAGAATGCAAAGGTATCCTGTGACCAAACAAAACTGCCATCATCGCTCTCTTCAATTGCTTAGCTTTACTATAGCAAGTAACGCATCTAAATGCCTATAGGCCAAACTTGTGTTTAAATCCTTTCAACAACTCACTACTCTTCTTAGCATCAAGACAAATCCTGCATGATCAAGATTCTCCATTCTCCTCATTCTCTGATACAACAGTTTTTTTTCAGTTGTCTTTAAATATACCAATTTCCATCAATTCTCAGGACCTTTGCACTGCCTCTTCCTTAGGCCTCTTCCTTAGGCCTCATCTCCTTTCCCTAATTAATTCCTTCTCAAATATTGATTACCTGAACATTCTTCCCCACCCTCAAATTAAATCAGGTTCCTCTTTTATATATTCTATGGCACCTTGCACATTTCCTTCATAGATTTATCATTTTGGGAGATTAGTTCTAGGATTATGTGATTTAATAGCTCTCTCATAGTAAAATCCTATATAATAAAAGCCTAATGTTAAGTGTCTGGTCATCCATTAAACCAATCAAAGCATAATATGTTAATGATATGCTAAGGCCACTCAACCACGTGCCATGGCATGCACTGAACACCAGGAGCAGACAGTTGACAGGTGGACCAGTCGCTATAATGTGCATTGACCACCAGGGGGCAGACACTCCAACTAGTAGGTTAGCTTGCTGCTGGGGTCTAGTTGATTAGGACTGAACAAGATGGGCCGGACACACCCTGGAACCCTCCCTCAGTCCCTCCCCTAGGGCCCTCCCCATGTCTCTCCCCAGCCCCAATCATGTACCGGTGGGGTCCCTTGGCCTGGCCTGCCCCCTCTTGCAATTCAGGGCTTCTTGGGGAATGTTGGGAGAGCCGGTTTCGACCCAATCTCGCACGCCAGGCCAAGGGACCCCACTAGTACACAAATTCATGCACTGGGCCTCTAGTATAAATATAATAATCCTATATGCAAAACTACTAAATAAAATTTTGCCTATATGTTGCAGTATTTTTCCAAGATCAATAGTTATCATCAGGTCATCAAAGTAGTCCCTAACCTATGTGTAGTGGAAAATTACCCTTATCCAAAGAGTTCTGGCCTTTGGCCTTGGCTACTGGAAGGTGGTATCTAGGCCACTGGAACTTCTTACCTAAAAGGAGTGTTTTTCTTGCCTGGGGCCTTTGGCCATTGGACATAAGTGATTCATGATGGAGGCTTTGCGCCACACTTTAGCAGTTCCAATCCTGGGAGGAAATGGAGACTGAAAGCATTAGTATGATTGACAGGAGGGGCTAAAGACTAAATTTAATCCAAATCAAAACTCTGAACACCAAAGGCTTGGGTGAGTTTCCTTGGTTGACAACATCCTATGTATTGTCACATACTGTGGCCTGAAAGCAGTAATGCCATCCACCATTCCATAGGAAGAGATGACAGAAAGTTCTACATTTGGACCACTCCAGATTTTACCTATATATTTCCTCTTTTGGCTAATTTTAACCTGTATCTTCTTCCTGTAATAAGACGTAAATATAATAGTTTTCAGTGAGTTCCGTGAATGTTTTCTGGTGAATTGTCAAACCTGAGGGTGGTAGTGGGAGCTCCTAACCCTGAAACTGGTGTCTCAAGTGAGGTTAGTCTTTTAGGAACTATTCTTGCAGACAGCAGTTTGGTTAAACTCATTGCAACCCTTCTCCCCGCAGGCCCCCTTCCCCCCCAAAAAAGAAAAAAAGATTAGAAACAATAAACTGAAGTTTCTTGGGAGCAGAAACTTTATTAATATAATACAATGTAAAAAATATAAGATACTTATTTGAAGCAATTGGTATTCTCAGGGTATCAGTATTATGTAACAATAGCAATAATGCTAATAATGATGATGATGATAAAAACAGCAACGATTTATTGCATGTCCTTACTATAGTCTTCATTTACAAATGAGGAACATGAGGATTAAATGACTTGCTCAAGATCATACTACTAGTGACAGACAGCATGCAAGCCCTGATTTAAATAATTTTAAAGCCTATATACTTTACTATTATATATTGTATCTCATAAGACAAGCAGAGGAACTTTAATATTATATTTTGCAAAGGACAATTAGAAGTATATAGCATTATCATCACTAAAATAGTATCATTAAAGACTAGCAACTGTTAGCACTGTTCAGGAGTGTGGAATACTTAAGTTCCCCTCTTTTAACTAAGACTTACTTATAAGCATTCTGATGCTTACTTAAGCATATCTTTGAAATTCTTCTACATAAAATATAAGCTACATAGGTTAAAAACAAATAAAAACACTATTGGTTGTGTATTGAATGGTAAACACAAATTCCAGATACCTGAGGTGGATAGATAACACTTCTGCCAAGAAAACCACCAAATATTGTATGTTAATCTGTAAACAAAGGGGCACCAAGCTCTTCTATTTTCCTCTACAAATTTTCCCACTCCCTTTCTCTATGGTTCTCTCTCACATCCTAGAAATGTCTTAATGGCCTCTAAGAAAGGCTGAAGAGAACTAGAATCTATTGGTCCATGCAAGATAGTTTGACTGTCTCAAGCTGAATACTGTACTCAAAAGTCTTAAAGGCCTTTCTACCTTGAAACTAGACCTACTAAAATATAAGCAAACACAGTTCTTATTTAAAAAAAGTGTATACATATATTTATAGTAGTATAGTATCTAGGAGACTCTCTGACAGAGCACTTTATATTTTTGGTAATCATAAAAAGGTATTTGAGCAACTGGCTATAAGTGATTAATTAATTACATTACTTATCTTTATGTAGGTCCAGAGCAAACATTATATATCAAATATTTTTTATTGAGATTACTTTAAAGTTCACTATCATACTTCTACTAAATATGAAAACTAATAGTGAAAAGTTGTGCTATGTCAACTTTGACAAACCAATCATGATAATAAAAATGTCTTAAGAGTGGATCAATCTGGATCAACATTAGAAATTAATCATTAAAGAGTACCAAGTGACGTGAAATAAAGACAATATAAAGGAGAAAAGGTGAACATAAGTAAAGCAAGGAAAAGAAGGAGGGACACACTCATGAATTAGACACACACACCGAAGCCCGCAAATAACCCACAGAGACAGAAAGTACCTGGAAAGCTGTGAGTGCGCCAGTCCCTGGGTTATACAGGCATCGCAGCGAAGGCATGCTGTCCGCCAGGCTGGAACAGCCCAGCCACAGAGACCTGGGCATAGAGCACTGCAGAGAGAGGACAACTATGAGATGGGACAGTATGAGACAGGATGGTACAGATTACAGGAATTTTCAAGGCTTGGCTGAATGCAATATTCCAGTTGTAGCTGCCCTTTATGATAGAAACATCTTCAAGAAAATACTACTTATTAGTTCTAACCCCAGAGAGAGACTCAAAAGGAGCACTAATTGCCAAAAAGCAAGGGGGAAAAGGTTATAGGTCAAAAACTAAATATATAGTAAAACTTGTCTCTATTCTTCTCTGTATAAGTGTAAAGGAATTCCAATTCTTAACCTAATTAATCAATTCTTTTCCTCTATGCATCTCAACTCATCTCCCATAAATTCACCACAGGGTGAAATCTTGTGCAGACAAAGCAAAAAAAAAAAAAAAAAAAAAGAAATAGTTCATGTTAGCATTTCAATATTAGGAATGGTAAATTAGAAAATAAAATACCAAGGAAAATTAAAGTCAGTTACTTTTAGAAGAAAAAGTATTACCCTCCAGATTTGACAGCAACTCTGTACAGTTTGTGTATGTTTTATGTATCTTGTTAATCTGCTATTCATTAACCAAAATGCATAGTTACCATAGCAGTTGCCTCTTCCATCTTTCCAGATAGATTAAAAAGATTACGGGGGGGGGGGGGGGGGAGGGGGGGTAAGAAACAACCCAAACAGAAGGGAATACAGCAGCAAAGAAAGGAGGAAGAAAGAGAGAAAGAAAATGAAAAAGAGAACCCCAAATGCTGCTGGTAGTAAAACCTTCTAAGCAAAAATGTATGTGTGAAAGTAAACATACATATGGTGTATTTAGTATCGAAATAAGGTAGAAATTATGATTTCTACTAATATTAATGAAACAATGTTATTGTTATTGCTCCTACAGCTTTACAAAACACATTATGTTTTAGAAGTTTAATATTCTTCAATTTTCTCTAAAAGTATCCCAGGCTGAAGTTTTGTTCATCAACTTGGGTACTATTACAGTCTAGTAATCCTAAAAAAAATTTAAATATCCAATAATAGCACATATAAAAACAGGAATACATATTTTAAAATATAGCAGTTGATGCACATAATACTAACCTTTATAAGTTTGGAAATATTAAATATCATTATGGGGCTTTTTTGTTCTTAAAATACTCTAGTTGCAAGAATTAATATTAGTATTAAAATATATTGGGTCTAGTAATAATTAATGTCGTTTTTAAACATTCATTTAAAATCTTGCTTGGCGTTGACTTGTATTGACATAACCTTCAAACACGTGGTATCTACAGAACGTGTGAAGTGCAATTAACAAGTTTTGCTTGAAAAAGTTTGTGTTTGGTTTGGTTTTTGTTGCAAAACTAGGGCTAAGAAGATGGCGGATGAAGAGCATATTTGGCACTGCATGCTTTACGAGTTCCAATTAGGAAGAAAAGCAAGTGAGGCTGCAAAAAACATCTGTAGTGCTCTTGGTCAAGATGCAGTTAGCGCCAGAAAATGCCAGCGTTGGTTTGAGAAATTTCGCGAGGGAAATTTTTCGTTAGATGACAAGAGTGGTTGAGGCCGTGTGTCCAATTTTGATCAAGAAGCTCTTCAAGCTCTTTTGGTGCAAAATCCTCAAATTACCCAACAAGAGCTTGCGACAACTTTAAATTGTTCACAAAAAACAATTTCCAATCAATTGCGTGCACTTGGCAAAGTCCAAAAGTTTGGAAAATGGGTTCCTCATGAGTTGACCGACAACAACCATAATCAAAGAGTCACAATTAGCAGTTCGCTCCTCTCTCGTCAAAACCGTTTGCCGTTTTTAGAGCAAATTGTTACCGGAGATGAAGAATGGGTGCTGTATGTTAATTTGAAAAGGCGGCCTCAATGGTTGGACAAAAATGAGGCTCCGCAGCCCACGCCAAAACCTGACTTGCATGTGAAAAAAGTGATATTGTGTGTTTGGTGGAATTTTAAAGGAATTCTTCATTATGAACTTTTACCATCTAACCAAACCATTACAAGTGCAGTGTATAGTGCCCAATTGGAAAGGTTAGCCCAAGCTTTAAGAGAAAAAGAACCCGCGCTGATTAATCGGAAGGGCGTAATTCTTCACCATGATAACGCACGACCGCATACTGCAAGAATCACTGCTGAAAAACTGCGCCAGTTGGAATGGGAAGTTCTCCCTCAACCTGCATATTCTCCTGATATTGCCCCTTCCGATTACCATTTGTTTCGTTCTTTGCAAAACTTTCTTCTTGGAAAAAAATTTAATGAAGAATGACTCAAAAATGCATTGACCGAATTTTTTGCATCAAAATCACAAGAATTTTACAACAGAGGGATTAAAATGCTTCCTGAGCGTTGGGCACAAGTAGTAGAAAACAACAGCAACTATATTGTTGATTAAATTTTGTTGTATTGTTTAAATAAATTCGATTTTAAAAAAGTATTAGAAAACGACATTAATTATTACTAGACCTAATAGTATTCATTATTCACACTATCTATAACTGACATAACAATAGTAAGGACACCAAAAAATGATGTGGTCTTTCAGATCATTACTTCCTCATTTTACAATTTAGATGGCTGATGCCCAAGCATTTATCCATGATCATGAATTTAGAAAGTAGAGAAGTAGGAACTAGAATCCTACTCTATTGCTTCTCAGTGGAGAACTCTTCCTCCTGACTCCATCCAGCCACGGTCATAAAGCAGAGACATCAGACTTCAAAGAAGGGTATCTGCTAAAGGTATCACCAGATAACATACCAACCGAAATAGCTAAACTGCTTTGAACTCCTACAACAATCTCCTAACACTGTTCACTGTTTCCAATGTTTCTTTACCTCAAGCTACAATCCATTTTACGAACAGCACCTAAATAGAATAACTGTGTTCACTTTGTTATTATGTCACTCTGGTCAATAATTCATAAAGGCTCCCTGTATCTATTGTATAAAATCCAAGCACTCTATTAATCTGACCTTTCCCCAGTGCCTGTATTAATTCACCTTCTCTGTCCTTCCAGTTGGCCTAGCACTCTAGCTAATTAACTTCCTTGACCATTTTTAAATCCCTATCTTATCCCCTTACCTTTGACTCAGGAGTATTAAGTTCTTCACTAAAGTAATTTTTGTGAGTAAATAAAGTTAAATATTTCTAAGTAATGTTTCAGTCATTTATTCAACAAATATTTATTGAGCATCTTCCTCGTACTCAACACTGTTCTAGGCAGAAGGATAGAGCAATGAACAAGAGACAAAAATCCTTTATATTAAAGTGACACTCTCTCAACCTTAAATTCTTTTATATGTAAATTCCTTAATGTAAAATAAATTTGTTGTTAGTAAGTTTCTCTCATTGTTAATGAGAAACAATATAAACATTATTAAGCAATTACTTCTGTGTTTGCTAGATAGAAGAAAGTCTCATTCTGAAGGAGGGACTGAATTTGAGAAAAGAAAAGAGGGAGAAGAGTATACAAAAAGGGAAAATAAAATACAAAAGAAGAAAAGGAAAATAATGAAGTAGGCACTGTCACTCCTCCCTATTCCCTTCTAGCCATACTGAAGCCACCTGCATGATCTTCTCTTTTTTATTAAAATATGGATATTTACTTGTATTTGTGAATGTTCCTTTATAAGTTTTTAAGGCATTCATCTTTTAAATGTTTGTCTCCATTTTATATTAGATCCCGTGTTATTTTTGTAATATGTACTTGCTTAATTATCATCTGACTTTCCTTGTTGTAACTCATTCTAATATTCTCCTTCATCCAGTTATTTCTATCTTTCATCAAAACTCCTGACTAAGATTCTGAAAGGGCTTATCCCATATCCTTGAACTAAAATTTCAAATTATAATTATAATTAATAATGAGCCACATATACCCAGGAAAGCCACTAGATATACTGGTGTGATTTCTAAAATAGCATTAACTTGTAAATACCACACAGAGGATACATTCCTGATTATTACAAGACACTGGTGTGGATATAAAAGCTGCACTTGAATATAGTCAGATCTACACATTACCATAAGATTTTATATATTATAGCTCAATTTAATAACCAATTTTCAAATTGGTTTGTATTGTAACAAATTAATCTTACCCCTACTGGTAAATGCTACTTTAAAACATTGAGGAAAAAATATAATTACAAAATTAATGGGATAGGGTATAACTTCTACATCGTTTTTCTTTCTATCTTCACATGTAGGAGCATTTTCTACAGAAGGGAAAAATCAAAGGAAAATTTTAAAAATACATATTTTATTGATTTTGTACAGAGAGGAAGGGAGAGAGATAGAGAGTTAGAAACATCGATGAGATAAAGTCATTGATCAGCTGCCTCTTGAACACCCCCTACTGGGGATGTGCCCGCAACCAAGGTAACATGCCCTTGACCGGAATCGAACCCGGGTCCCTTCAGTCCCCAAGCCAACGCTCTATCCATTGAGCCAAACCGGTGTAGGCAGAAATTTGGTCAATAAGTAACTGAGTGGAAAGGGTTGCCATTGTGGTTACTATTCCTATGTATTTTATATACAAGGTTGGGCAAACAGATGTTTACAGTTGTGAGCACGAGAAACAGTTTATTCTTGTATTATTATTTATTGTTTTCCATATGAATAACTGTAAACCTACATTTGCCCCACCCTGTACTTCAGAACCATCCTGATTGGTTAATTTCTGATAAAGATGTAGGTTTAGCCGAAACCGGTTTGGCTCAGTGGATAGAGCGTCGGCCTGTGGACTGAAAGGTCCCAGGTTCGATTCCGGTCAAGGGCATGTACCTTAGTTGCAGACACATCCCCAGTTGGGGGTGTGCAGGAGGTGGCTGGTTGATGTTTCTCTCTCATTGATGTTTCTAACTCTCTATCCCTCTCTCTTCCTCTCTGTAAAAAATCAATAAAATATATTTAAAAAAAAAAAAAAAAAAAAAAAGATGTAGGTTTGGCTCAGTGGATTGAGGTTGGCTTGTAGACCAAAGGGTGGTCCCAGGTTCAAATATAGTCAAAGGCACATACCTCAGTTGTGGGGTCTTCCCTGGCCTGGGCCCTAGTCAAGGTACCTGCAGGAGGCAACCAATCAATGTGTTTCTCTCACATATTTGTTTCTCTGTCTTTCCCTCTCTCTTCCACTCTCCCTAAAAATCAATGGAAAAATATCCTCGAGTAAGGATTAACCAAAATAAAAAAGTAAAACATTCTCTGTCCTTCGATTTTAATAAATAATCCCCTTTAAAATACCCAAAAAGTATACACAGTTTTCTATTTATAATTTAGGTCGAAAAAGTTTGTTTCTCCTTGCAAATTATATTTAAATTCCTATGGATTTATAAACAAAACAAAACAAAAAAGTTTAATTTAACAAAAAGCAGGTTCTAAAGTAAGCTGCAATCCAGCAACTATGTTCTCATGTTTAAATATTTAACTTCTGTTAACTGTTAAAGAACGTGTGAATTCCTTAAATGTTTCTCCTATGCAATCTCAAAAGTTACCACAAAGTTTGGATTATACATGTAGCCCCCATCCTACACAAATCCAGCCTTACTCAGCACACACTGGCTTCTTCAGCTCATTTTCCACTAAACTTCACCCCAATTAACTCTCTTTTGCAAAATCAAAGCAAGTTGAAGAATATAATAATGTATTATATTACAACTACATATGTTACCCAACTGAATGAAATGCTGGACCTTGTTTTCTACTACTTGAAAGAATGAGAAGAGAATGAAATATTGTGAAAAAGGTCTTCCAGTGTTTTCAAGGAGAATGTAGTATCTAGTGCCCATCAGGTTCAACAGCAGGAATTCGCTTTCACAGAGAACACTAAAAACCTTGACTCCTCCCTCTACTTGGCTGCCTGGGGAGAAGGCACAGTTCCTCTTCACTGATAAAGGGCCCTGCAGGCAAAGGGCTGGCCTCAGCATTTACTATATGAAAGCTGAATGACAAAATCTCCTAAATTCAGGTCCCTGTTGGTCAACTTTTAGGAGTAATAGAAGCTATAATAATCAACAATAAAAAGATTGCTGCAGTGAGAGTTTATGTATCCCGAAGCCATGGAATAGAAGAATTCCCTTTTCACTACTATATCAACTAAAAAATTCAGGCCAAGAGAACTACAGTATTCCATAACCATGAAATACATTCAGATTTTACCTATACAAATTCAATAATTGCCTCTTAAGAATTCCAATTTAGTTAACTCACTTTAAAAATAAAACTCACACCTGTCATAGAGGATAATCATAGCTGCACCTTGTTGTACCATTAAAATCAAGAATCTAAAATTTTCAAGTACAAAAGAAAAAAAAAAAAGTCAAGCGTCATCAGCGGGGTTACCAACAGCAAGGTTCCATGAATGCTACTTGAATTTCAAAATGTCCCTTCTGGAAAGGCATTATGAGCTGCAGACCATGGAATCCATAAATCCATCAATCAAATTTATTTTGTCCTTTTCCAAAAAATTGTATTTAATTTATTGGGGTGACAGTGGTTAATAAAAATAGGTTTCAGGTGTACAATTCTATAATACATCATCTGTATTCACCACCCAAAGTCAAGTCTCCTTCCGTCACCACTGACTGCCCCTTTACCCTCTTCTACCTCCCTCCACCATCCTTCATCAATAAAATTTATAGTTCATTACCAGAATGAACAGAGTACAAAGACAGAACCAAAATTGATAAGGCAAAAAGTGTTCGCCAGATATTGTGCTAGAATCTTTAAATACATTATTTCACCTAATCATTATGACCCTGTCAAAGAGTTATTAAAATCTTCACTTTAATAGGAGAGTAAACTCAAAATCAGAAAAGTTACAGTGACTAAATGGCAATGGCAGAAATAAGACCCAAATGTATTATTCTCTCAAAATCCATAAATTCACCACTGACATTTTAGTCAAATGACCAGCATCACCAATAATGAAACAAATTAAAATAATGTGTCACCGAGGTACCAACATGGAATCATCTGAAGAATTAAAGACTGAAGTGGAAGCTACTTCTTTAATCATGTTGTAAATACATAATAATGTATTTAAAGATTCTAGCACAATATCTGGCGAACACTTTTTGCCTTATCAATTTTGGTTCTGTCTTTGTACTCATGCTAGCATCTGTTAGTTTCCAGTCTTCTGCAAAGTCTTGTGCAGCAAGTCCAAGGACTATGAGTAAATCTACACCAGCAACAAAAGAGACTCATTTAGTAGCTAAAAATATTAATATATCCATAATTCTGGGTGAGTATTAACAATAACAACAATAAAAAAGAACAGCTTATAAACAGACCAAATGAGAATTAGTGAACAGGAAGAAAGGTCAGCAGAATTATGAGGGAGCTATAAGTTCAACAATTCCTAGAACCTACAAAGAGCTGAGGAACTTTTCTGTTCTGACCAGCCAGATTGCAGAAGCCTAATTTAACACTTGGGATATTCAGTAGAAACCCCAGAAAGCTAACACTTCACTGGTATGGATATACTACACTAGTATAAAAGTTACAGAGTAACCTACCTAGTAAAGCTTAAAATCAATTCATAGCAGCATTAAGTTGATCTGCAAGAAACTTAACTGTTGGCTGAAATAAACAATATTATTTAAAAAGATAATAAAATACAAATATTGAAAAATTCAATATTCACAATGTCTAAATCTAAAATTACTAGATAAGAAACAATAAAATGTGACCCACAATCAGAAGGAATATCAGTC